GACTTGCCACCTGAGCCTGGCTTTTAAGGAATATTTCGACTATACATCTTTGTGGTGAGTGAAATACCATGGCTTGGGGCAGTCACACCTTAGTCCTCAAGGTCACATCCTTGCCTTTTCACACTTGAAAGAGATCTCATGCAGCAAATTTACCAAATGCAAAGTAATCTCCTGACTGCTGCTTCCGTGAGCACTGAAGTTTGGAGGGCAGTGAATTATTTAATGTGTTTCTTCTAGCCAAAGTCTCTATGTTTGCACTCGTACCCTTAAAAATGAGAAAACATTTTTTCTTTATTTTTTAGACAATTTTCACTTACGGATAAGTACTTGTAGATCTTCAAGGCAGTACTATTTAACTTAGACAATTTTCACTTACGGATAAGTACTTGTAGATCTTCAAGGCAGTACTATTTAACTAAGACAGGATTCGCTGTAGGAAGAGTAGACTGCTGCTCTAGTAGGCATCTAACTTGTGGACGTAGTTTCAGAATTGGGTAATGGCTAGAGATGAAATGAATTTTAAGGTGCATAAGTAAATGCCTAGATTGTACTGAGGAGACTGATGGTACAATTATGGATGCCAAAGGCAATTCTGTTTAGCGTTCACAAGGGTGTGAGAAGAACTATAGCGGGTATTGCAATCTTGTTACAGCGTGCATTTTGGGGCCAGCAATGGAATGTTCCAGAAATGTGGATGCTAGATATATTTCTGGTGAATCTTCGAGAGAAAAAATAGTACCATGTGATTGGACAGCGGAGGAAGGGTGATGCTTTATACACATGTCCAAAACATCTGAATTATATTCCAAATTTGGATGGAAGGTAAAATTTATAAGTGATGAACTTGGATATCTGGTTGATGAGATGAGTAAGTAGATTTTAAAGTGGCTGCATGGGTTTTATTTACCACTTATAGTTAAATTCAAGAGTAAAGATGAACTTAAAAATAAACTGTGCAGGCTTACAGCAGAGATTAAAAAACTGGAAAAGTCTGTTACGTATACAAATTGAGGACAGACTGTTCACCAAGGACAGAGCTGCACAAAATTGTGTTAACGATAATAATTCTGTGGCTGATTGAGCTAACCAACAACAACAAAACAAAACATCAAACCCAACCAAATAAGACAAAAGGCATCATCTTAGATTGAAGAGGACAATGAAACAACAAAAGCAAAAACATGGCAGGACTCTTGGAATTCTGCAGGTAAGAAACAGGCCCGGCAGCTGTGTTTGCTGTCTGTTAAGAAGAGAAAAAGATTATCCCTGGATCAGCTTGATGATTGCTTGAGAGAGTACCGAAAATAATGCTTCCTAGGTTTCAAATAGCGGGTTTGTTTTCTCCTGGATCTCAGAGGGTGGGACCATGCATTTAGATTTCAGAGTTGAATCTTTGCCAACTCAATAAGTCTAGGTGATGGAGTTACTGCCAAAGCAAAGGGAGGAGATGTGTAATGTCCATGGGGCATAAAAACAGGGTCTTGTGGTTTGAAGAGATGAGGTTGCCACTCAGATGGATTACACAAAGACACAGGAGCCAAGTGGCCACCCTAGTGGAACTAGAAAGCAGTGCTGAAGCCCAGAGTCAAGGGACCTTCAAATAAAATTAAGAAAACATAGCCAGCCACAGATTCTGGCAAGCAGGGTTTTCGCTGAGAGGCTGTCAGAGAACAGTGCTATTTTCTAGTTGTAAAAGCTGTTGCAACTTGTTTGGCTGGGTCTTGAATTTGTTTGATGTTCTTAATCCTTTCATTTCCTCCATTTTCTCTCTGCTGTAGTGAATATGTCTACCTTGACTCTGTTCACCATTGCATTTAGGAAATGGGTAACTTCTACTGCAGATTTCACAGGTTTGTAGCTGAAGAGGAATGCTGTTCTATAATAGAATAAATGTAAAGTTTTACCAATATAGTATTTAGACGATCCAGAAGATTATATTGTGAGCTTGAAGTTGATTAAAACTTTTGGGCTGATGTGATGGTGTGTGACTTTCAACAAGGACATACATTTGAAAAATCAATAAATGGTAAGCTATGGATTGAATTATACTCCTAAAAAGATCTGTGCAATCATACACCTCTGCCTGTGGTCAGGGACACATTTGAGAAGTGGGTTCTCTTTGTTATGCTAATGAGATAGGTTTAAAGTAGTATACATCCCAAATCACTCTGTTTTGAGCTAGAGAAGTTAAAAAGCAAGTCAGAGACAGAGACTGGGGAAGGTGGAGGCTTGGAGAGCTCTAAGCAAACAGGAAAGACACTTGAAGGAGGAGAGAATGTGTCCATTAGGGCCAGAGTCCTGTATTCAAACTTCTGACCTTAAATCTATCCACTTTTTATTACACTATAGCAGTACTGGCAAATAATAGGCACTAGTAAGGAACAGGTTTGACAATTCGCACCCATCAACAGCTAAGCAAGAAGATGAAGCTGTCTACTCCTGTCAGATTGACATCCTAGGAAGCCCTATATAGGTGCTAAGAGTCAGAATAATTACATGGTAATGGATAGGTTGAGGTAAATAATACAATGACTGTATACATTTACTTCAAGATTAAATGCACAAAATTTAGTAGACTAGAGAAAACAAAAGATAACCCCTATTTAGTAGATAGGACCTATATCTTCATTGATCCTTTCTAATTAAAGACTTCATGGGTTTAATAATAATAATAAATTTTCTATTTCAGAGCCTTCATTGATAATGTGTGCATAAATAGAATAAAATTTTAAGAAATTTCATAATTAAAATTGTATATTAAATTCATCCCATATGCACATTCAGCAATAAGAGACTATCTATTATAAATTCCACTCTGATATACACATGCTATTGCATACAAATACACAAAAAAGAAATGGAATAGATGTATGTGTAGTTGTGTAAACTATGCTACCTTTAACTTAAAAATCATAGGTATATTGACATTGCTGTCAAATCTTTCATATAATGTTAATCTTATTAATGTATAGATAATTTAAAAATCAAGTCTCTATATATTTAGTATAGACATTTGTAGATAACAGGGTTTCATAAACATATAAGTAATAAAGAGCCCTTTAAAAAGTACTATCAATAAATGCACATTAACAGTTTAGTTAAAGCGATACACCGTGTTATAACTGTGAGATATTTCACGTGCTTCATATGTGATCTTTATGGCACTTAGAAATCTGCAAATCCATCAGCTTCTAGGGTTAGCTTTTATCTAGATTTTTAATTTTTGTGAGTGTAGCTATAACAAATAAAATAATTTCTTAAGACCTTAAAATTTCCCAAAATAAATAATGCTTATTTGATTTTTTAGAAAAGAAGAAGGCAATCCATATGTCAATTTTCAGTAAATGAGTTGTATTAAAAACACCTGGGCAAATGCGTCAGAACCACTTACCCTGTCGGGGGCAAAGACAGTTTTTCTCGTGATGTTTTTTTCCTTTTTTGAAACCAATCACCATAATTCTCATATTTGGTCAAATCTAACAAATTAAATAGTGAAACATCTATTTCATGAAAATATGAGTGGAGATTTAATAAGCACTTAATTTTCTTAGTGAAATGTTCTAATATAAGTAAACATCTAGGTTGACATTCTCCCCATGTAACTTCAGAACAGACATCAGTGAGACCACAGAAAGCCACGAGACTGCGGGTCATTTTCCTTCTACAGAACATAAATTATTTTAAAGCGAGAAACTTCAAAGATGCGTAATTGCTAATCTAATATTAAAATTTCTTGGATTACTAAATAGATTACTACCTAAATTATCAAGGAGCCATTGAATACTATTATGTGAAGAAGAGCTGGGGAAAAAAAGAAAAAAGTATTCAGATATGAGACCGTGTGTTCAACTACAGCAGCAGCATTTTATGAAAATAAATGGACACTGCTGTAATTTAAGGATGTAGTTATAAATATTTTCAGAATATAATGTGCAGTATATTGAAAAGTACCAAATTCTGCATATTTATGAGTTGAATAGGTGCTGAAGAGTCAGATGTCAATGATACAGCAGTAACAAAATCAATATAAATATTGATTTTCTGACATTTTTTCAAAACTTACAGTACAATTTCACAATTTTTTGCAGGGTTAAATCTTTCCGTGAAGAATTTTAGCAAGTTTTCTATAATTGTCTAATGCTAAAACCTTTCCAAATGGACATATGTCATTCCAGCACAAACCTTTTAAAGATGGCCTGAATATAAAATGAAAGCTATTTGACTACAAAGTTTGCTTTAGGTTGATTATGCTCAACCCAGTCCCAGAGCACAACTCCAAAGGATGCTCTTTCTGAGATTCTGCCTCTTCCACTTTGATTTAAAATGAGGAGAATGGAGATATGTAGCCTATATATTGGTATACTCATATTTATTATTATAAAGTTCATATTAAATGAGTATTATGCCATCATTAATGTGTTCTAATTTAAATAATTCAGAAAGTGAAAATTACAGAAGTGTTTTATATTTGAAGTGCATGTTTTCTAGAATGTGGATTATGAGATTTATTAATCCTCTTCCTATAAATCTGGTAGAAAGAGACACACATTTTCAGATACAATGACTAAAATTGAGCAGGCCATCATACATACATAGGAGAAAAAAATCAGATTAAAAATAGCAAAAAAGTATGAGCTCCTAATAAAATGTTAAAAAAAATAATAATAAATAAATAAATAAAAGGAAAAAAATGTGCTGAAAAAAAAAGATAAAAAAAAAATAGCAAAAAAGAGGGAGATGCTTACACGAGTATTAATTACATAAAGCTACAACTCAAGTCATTACAATGCTGAGAAGAGAGCATGCCTGGAAAGGAGAAATTGTGTACTAAAGATAAACCCTAACACAGACACGGCAAGGGTTAAGAAACCTTAATTTATTAAGGTTATCTATTGACATATTGCTAGCTTGATGTGTTTTGGTATGTGCTTTGCCAAATGCCCAGCTCAAGGAAATGAAGAGATCCGCGGCAAAGGATCAGAATCCCAGGCCCCTCTTACCTTCCACTGAGCAGAAAGCCGATAACAACTGCCAACAAAATGCCTCCCACGGTCACGGACACAGCAATGATGGGAATCTGGCTTTCGTCGCCGGGTGCTGCAACTGCTAATATGAGACACGAGAATGGAAGTGGTGGTTAAAGGGATCATAAGCCTTAGAAACAGGAGCTGCTTAATACTCAGTAATCAATACTCAGGAATCAAGTCAGTTTTAAGCAATTATTTCCCACTTGGCTTGGATTTATCCCTAAGATCTTTTCTCAAAAGCAAGCATCTTTAGGGAAAAAATATTTATTCTCCAAATAAATTTCAAAAGCTTCACTAAGTCACTGATTATCTCCTTATCATAAAAAATGGATGATTCTGTTTGCATAGAATTCATCTAGGGACTTAAGTTTGCAAGTTAAAAGGTATCATCGTTTGCTTCAAACACCTTAATCTAAATATGAGGGAACAGTTATACGGGATTTGATATTTATAAAGTCCACATCCTGCTGTGCTAGAGAAGAAAATCTAGTTAATTCAGAAAAGGTCTGTCTCAGCCCACATGGCTGGAAGTCTAAAATGCTGTGGCTAAGATCTCATTCATTGATATAAATATAAACTATTCTTCTGAATATAATAATATATATTTTCTAGAGAACATTTTATATAGAAATTCATTTCAAGCAATATTATAATCAATAAGTATATTTTATAAATAGAATAACTTAAAAGTAATATCCATATATATTTAAATCAGATACATTAGAGATACAATTAGATTCCTTTGTATAATCTTTTTCAAAAGTATGCATGCATTAAATCAAAGAATTTCCATTTCAACATCACAGATGACATAGTAATAGTATAATACACAACAAATCTATAATTACTATGGGAGTCATTAGATAGCTATACCTATAAAACACCTGAATTTTGTTCCTGAATTGTTATATAATTCCTTATTAAAGAACAAACATATAGAGTAAAATATATTTTATAATAATCTCAAGAATTCCTCAATAAAAACCTGAGTATGCTCATTGTTTAATTATACAATGTGGATGTTTTCAGAGTAGCATGAGTTAACCTCAATGATCTCAAATTTTTATTTAGTTAGATTAATCACAAGAACATTAATTTTCATTTGTCAATTTTTAAAGCACTTACCAGGTGTTTGCCCAATCAGAAACTTTTAAACTCCAAATACTTCTTTTAATTTTAAGTCAACTTACCTTTGATTATTTTTAACCAATATTTGTTGATGTTTAATATTTTTTTGCATTTTATAATATTGTCAATAATTTATGGCCAATCTTGTTAGCACTGCTGATAGATGGTGCTCACTAGTATCAAGATAAAGTTGATGCACGTTCAGGTTGAATTTGAAGAAAATTAAAACAAATCCACAACAGCCAAATTACAACCTTGAGTATATTTCACCTGAATCAGAGAGCATGCCAAAGCAAATGTGATGCATTTGAACACTAACACCCAAGCACCATACAAGTTGCGTGATAACCTCAAGAACATCATAAATGAGAAAAGCAGAGGGTTATTAAAATTATAGGAAAGGAAAACAAAGCAAACGAAAAGGGCACAGTGGATGTCAGAAGAGATTCTGAAACTTGCTATTGAATGTAGGACAGCTAAAGCAAATGGAAGAAAGGATGAAGTAAAAAATCGAAAGAGAAAATTTCAAAAGGCAGTTCCAGAAGCCAAAGTACAGAATTATGATACTATATGAAAAGAGTAAGAAAAATGGTGAACATTAAACCATTTCATGACGTTTGGTCAAGAAGTGATAGGATGAAGGAAGAAGGCCTAGTAACACTGAGGGTCTTAGTGAAAACAAGGCTCCAGACATTGACAGAAAACTACTTTGAAATATTTCAACAAGCGTGCTGTGCTAAAAACACTCACTGTGTCTCCCAAGATCTTTAGAAGACAGCTAAATGGCCAACAAACTGGAAGAGAACCATATTTGTGCCCATAAAGTGAGCCATGGCAAAATACAAATTATTAAACAATACCATTAATACAAGTAAAATTTACTGAAGATTATTTAAAAAACCCCACTACAGCAGTGCATTGGCAGGGAACTGCCTGAAATTCAAACTAGATTCAGACTCTGGGATAGAATGCAAGATATCATGGCTGATGGCAGATGAATTTTGTAAATATCCAAGAAAGATGTTTACTTTTGACTATGCAACGGTATTTGAATATGTAGATCATAACAAACTACAAATCACTCTGTGAAGAATGAGACGCCCCACTTAATTGTGCTCCTAAAGACTATAGACCAAGAGGCAATTGTTCAAATAGACCAAGGGATAGTACCTGGTTTAAAATCAGAAGAATCATAGGTCAGGATTTTATGCTTGCATGTGTTCACTTTTGCTCTGTTTTACCTACTTTGAACTTGTGGTCAGAAAACCCCAGGTCCTGAGAAGGACATCATGTTAACACAAAGGTTCATTGATACAGAGGAAGACCCTCCACCCTTCTCTTGAGGAGCTGGATGGACAGCTGCCTAACAAAGGTTTAAAGGAAATGGTTAATATTAATTCAGTGTATGAGTAAAAGGAAAGCAGTTTCACTCCTTTTTAGAAATATCATGAATGATTGTTAGTGATTGTTAATAATTTTTGTAATAGATAAGACATGATGATATTCCATAATATGCACATGTGTGTGATACTGAATATATGAAATTCACTTCCAATGATACAAATATGAACACAATTTTATTTATAAGAGTAGCTTCATTAAAATAAATGCTAATGGTATACTAACATTTGCCTAATATTAAAATTAATAAATATGGTAAAACTATTTTAAAGTAAAGTCAAATAATAAACTTTAATATTTCTTTGTTTTACTCTATTTCTTATTAAATTAGACTTTTTAATGATGTAAGCAGTTAAATTAAAAAAATCTGTAAGGATTATTTTAAATAATTATTTACTACTTAAAATTTCCAGCATTTAACATTTTCAAATTTGTTTTAATTATTGGTTATTTAACATGTATTGCTTAATTCATGAGCTACTTCTAACAGAGAACAGTTTAAATGTGTTCTCATTATTTATTTCTCTGCTTGTCATGCCACAACCAATAATATTATCAACCATATTAACTGAACTACAAATCTGGAATTCAAAGGATAATATCTCTCTATATTTATTAATTCTTCAGCAACACCAACAAAAAAAGCCCTAGATATGAAATATGGTGATTTTAACATATTTAAAATGTGGTAGTGTTTTATTTAAGATGTGAACCTTTAGCTGCTTATGTTTTCCAACATCTTATGTGTTTATTAAAAAGTTCTTGATATCTCTAACACTTTATGAAGTCTAAAAGTACAGAAATTATAGATTATCTCCTAAGAATAAGATCCAATCATTGTGAACTCCTCTGCTGGCAAGAGGTACTGACCAACCATACCCGAAGTAGACAGGCTTTACAGTTCCTTTCCCTAACCAGTAATGGAATGTGTCAGCCCTCACCTCCAGGGGTGGTCTCTGCTTACCACAGAGAGGACCAGATTCTCTTCTACAACTTATACCATTTCCCTTGAGCAGGATGCCCACAGTAACTAAACAGGTATACCTAGGCTGTTGATTTTGCCTACTGAAGCAAGTCATCATTATTTCCAATTGGTTTAGGCCTCCAGACATCAGCTTTGATCCCACAGTTTGGGCTTTTGGCCAGTAGCATAATCCTTTGTGTAGCAAAGGAAACTGGAAGGAGCCCCTTATCTCCATGCATACTAAAGGAAGCCACAAGCACTTGAGTTTTCCCCCCATAGCCTTTCTCTAGCAAGAGGTTTGTCTAGAAATGGAAAGATGATGAGACTGGGTATCCTTGGCTCTGTTGTTACCTGGTTAAAGTGGAGTTTTCTTTTATTCCTTTACCACAGGACTCTATCTAATGGAAGCCATAAAAAACATGGTTTATCCTGCCTGTGTGTGAATTGTCTTCTACATGTGATGATAGACAAGTATGCTACCAGTACGTTAACAGATTTAAATGCAGAGTTTTTATGCCTCCAGCTGTGCCCTTCACTTCTGAGGGCTTGTAGTCCACCATTGCAAAACAGTCTGGCAAAAAAAACTGTCCATGAAAATGGAAGTGGATTCTAATTTCTTTTTCCCATGTGCAATAAGGCAATGCTGGAGTAACTGACCCTCTTTGGACTTGAAATCATTGTTAAGAGAAGCTCATCAAGCTGGGCTTCCTTCCAACCTCCAGCACACGTACTCACCCAAGGTTCCCCTTTGGGAGTTAGAGACTGAGTGCAGTATGTGGCCGAACTTCCCCTCCTAGAAAATGACTGTCGCTTTTCAGTTAGAACTGCTGAAAAGTTAGAACTGAAATTAAGAACTTTTTCTTGAAGAGAACTAGAGATGCCAGTTTTCTTAAGAGAGTAAAATTCTTACATGGTAAGAAATATGAAATCATGGCTCTTTTTTCCCTTTAGTGATCCCGCGGTAGGTTACTAGCAGTCCATGGAATAAAGGATTTAGGTGTGAAACTAAAAGGTTAAACATTGATAGATTATTTTTTTTAAAAAGTAATTGAGATGTATTCTGAGAGTTCTTAAAAGCAAATTTGAGACAATGTAAAATGTAATCACTAAAATATATTAATTATAAAAATTAATATTCTGATTGCAGAATAATGTCTCTTCCACATTACAAATATACTTACTTTCTGGGAAATGTAGGGTGGTATATTTAGCTTTAGTTATTAATGGTTAAAATGAGTGATAGTTTAGAAATTTTCACTGTTTAAGTTAGAAGAAAAAATACGATTAATTCAATGTGGATTAGGAGCAAAACAAAACAAAAACTCAGGCTTGTCTCAGGAAAGGTCATTCCCTGGAGAAAGACACTATGTTTAATACAGGAGAAGGGCAGCAATCCAAAGGAAGGCCGTCAATAAGATGGATTGACACAGTGACAGCAGTAGTAGTGGACTGAAGAACAATTGTGAGGATGGCACAGGACCAGGCAGGGTTCGATTCTGTTGTGCATGTGGCCACTATGAGTGGGAATCAAGTCCGTGGTGTCGAACATTAACAACAATAAAAACAACAACACATGGTTAAGATAC